ACCTTCGCAAGAGGATACTGTAACGCTTGGCGAGCGGCCGCGCTGCGGGGCAGGGCTGGTGAGAATGGGCTCTGGAGAGAGTCCCCAGGAACGACCCACTCCCGTCCATCTTGATCTTGATCCCGAGCCCGCCGCGCTGATCTGGAGAGCTGGCAGGGAGCTCCTCGTCGCGCCGTTCCTTGACGTATTTCCGGGTGGGCGGAGGGAGCGATGGTTTTGGCACACCTGACATCTGGCGGGTACGGCGGCGAAGGCGGCGGGGCGGCGGCGCGGCGGCGGGCGTGCGGTTTCAACAGAAGATGCGAATCCCCGGCGCCGGCTTTTGAAGTTTTTTCGAAAGTGTATGTAGCTCTTACGAACATACCCGAGGGTGAACTGCTGACAGGGTTTGCGATGAGGAGCGATCCGAACGTGGTATTCGGGTGATTAGATCACTCAGCCTCTGCTTTTTTCTTTGGCGTTCTCTCCAGAGCGCCGCCGCTCGCGGAAACGTGTGTGAAGACTTCAAGTCATAAAACCCATATATGTGGCTGTACTCAACGCTTGTGCTCATCGCCGCCGCGGCGGACGCTCTCCCTCTGGCTGGCTACAAGACGACGTACGAGGTTGTCAAAATGGGCACGGGCAGCGAGGTCGTGTCCAAGGGCGCGACGGTGACCGTCCACGCGACTGGCATTGTCGCGGAGACGAGCAAAAAGTTCTGGAGCACGAAGGACGCCGGCCAGCAGCCGTTCACCTACCAGGCAGGCGTGGGCGGCGTCATCACAGGTGCTCGCCCGCAGCCGACGCCACGACTGCCTCGCACGCTCAAGGCTTGCCGCCGCTCTCAGGCTGGGATCAGGGCTGCCTCGGCATGAAGCTCAACGAGGTGAGGAAACTGAATATCCCGGCCGAGGAAGGTGGGCACGCCGCCCTCTCATACCCTGCTCGGCCGACTGCCTTTTGGCCCTGACGGCTCAAGCGCGCCGCGCCCTCAGGCTACGGGAAGCAGGGCTTCCCTGCTTGGGGCATCCCTCCCGGCGGTGCGCTGCTCTCGACGCTGCCCGAGGAAGCGGCGCTCTCCTCCTCACTGCCGCCTCGCCGCGGCGCAGGCACCCTCGACTTTGAGATTGAGGTGCTCAAGATTGTCAACAAGCAGAAGAAGGAGCTCTGAGGGCATGGCGGCGCTGTAGAGCGGAACGGACTGGGTGTTGCACGCGACGTTGATATCCACTCTTTCGTCTTTGCTCTCATTATACGGTAAACTCAACGCAAGGAGACATGGTCATGGAGAGCACTGGCGCACTGGCACTTGGTCTTGCTCTTGCGTCTTGGACAGTGGTGTCCACTCCCTGAGGTTCATGTAGTACCTAGTAGGTCTCTATTGTTGGCAACTCAGGTGGTGTCAGTTTTTCGCGCACTCGCATACCCTGCTCCCTGGGTTTTAGGTATGTTGTTGGCAAGACAGCAAGCTCACCCTTCCTCTCGTTTTCTACTCGTCGCCCTGAATGGTTGGGCAGAGGTTGTGGACACGATCCCGGCGTGAACACGACTAACTGGCGGATCCGCTCCTGACAGTGGCATGCACCGCGCCGCGGCGCGTGCCACTGTCTTTGTTTGAAGTAAAAAGTCGAATCAGAGCGGTGTCGGCGGTGTCCTCCATTTTCCTCCCCTGGGCCCCCGTCCGGGACCGCTCCGGGACGCACGCCGGCGAAGCACCATCAAGCTGTTGTACGGCTCCGGCATCGCCTTCCCAGGCTTAGCTAGACTGAGAAATATTGTGCATACGGTCTGTCTCTACAATATACTCACTGACACTCTACCTCCCAGAGCTCGTCCCGGTCCATCACGGCCATCCTCGTCCTCCGGAGGGCCCCCGGCCGCGGCGCGGTGCGGCGGCGTCACAAATCCGACCACAGAGCACCGGGACGCGGTCGGGCGATCTGAGGTCCAACTAGGCGTATGCATTGCCCATCCAGTGCTATCACCTGGACCCATCAACAGGCGCCTGCGGCGCCGTGGTCACGAGGTGTTGTTCACACTTGCCCAAGCATTCATGCAGTACATGTACATGTGTGTGTGTGTGGATCTTTGAGTTTATTTCATGATGGACTACAAGGACTGGGGGTTCAACCGGGAGGCAGGGGGTTCGACCTGGCGACGGAGGACCGTGGGCCATCGCGGGGACTGCTGCGTACGGAGGGCGCGGCAGATAGATCCGGATGGTCTCACCCGGTGGGTGGCACCGAGGCGTCTTGGACGCTCAGCTCTACCTTAGCTCCTGAGGGGCGCGTGGTTCTAACCACGTAGTATGACTATAGCCCACCACAGACACCCTCCCTGCTCCACACGTGTGCACACACCCTCACCCTCTCCTCTCTCCTCTCTCTCTCTCTCTCCTCTCTCCTCTCCTTGTCTGCTGTCTGCCTGGACTCAGGCGCAATCTGCCGATGCGAGATTGTGTGTGGGCTGCTCCTAGGGGGCCCTGTGCGATCCGACGGGTAGGGGGGCTGTGCCCGGGCGGTGTCCGGTGTGGAGTCCCCTTCTGATCCCGCCTGAGAGATGTTGGGTGTGAGGTTGTGGCGGCTTCGATCCCAAGCTGGGGGGGAGCTGATCCCACTCGTAACCAACTCTCAGGGGCAGTAGGTGGGCGAGCTTCAGGCGCGCCCATCTCGATCGACAAGGCGTCGCTACGCGCGGTCTTCCGCGGGGGGAGCTTCGTCGACGGGTGCGGGAGCGCGGCGCAGTCAGTGCCGTGGCGATGCCTCCGGCTGTTTGCGGCGGGCGGCTTGCTGCTCGCTGCGATGGCGAAAAACTCGTCTCGCCACACACCAAGGGCGTATGCTCTGGCGAGACGTGAGGCGCATGCGCCCAGGAGGGGAGGGGGCATGCGTAACGACACTGCTAGAGATGCCTTTCGGGGCCCAGAGACAAAACTTCTGATGCCATGCGTGACCTAGTAGTGTCCCCAGCTATGGGCGTGTCCACGTTGGAGCCAGGTGTGGTGTGGGCGCGAGAATAGCTCCGCCGTTCATGGAGGCAACCGATGCGAGTCGACTGGTGTGTGTCGTCGTGGTTTCGTATCAAGAATACTCACTCACTCACTCACTCACGGGCAGTGACAATTCAATGGGTGAGTGTTTGCGAGCTGAGGCGCGTGGGCTAAATCTAGGCCGCGCGTCGTGGCACTATGACGAAGTTAGACGTGCGGCCGCAGCGCGCCCGCCGCAGGCTCGGCGGTGCGCGCGTGTTAGCGAGAAAGTTGCGGGTGGAGCCATGCCCGACTTTTCGAAGGTGAGGCCTCTGCGACGAGTGCCAGCCGCGCTGCGGAGCCACACCCTTCGAGCCGCGTCCCGTCGGCACCGTCCCTGAGTGCGTCCCGCCTTGGCGGCACACACTCTCGACGAGGACAGTCCGGCCTACGGGAACGTGTCGCGCGCCGGCGACGGTTGTGGCGTGGTGGTTTCGAGTACGACGCGAAGATGGCACGACCACCGCCCTGCATCGCAGACCGGGCAAGGAGGGGCCTGCTCCCGTTCCGCGAGGAACAGGAGGTCTCCCCCCCTCCCCCGGCCTGAGCAGCGACGGTGACGCACACACAAGGTAAAAAAGAAAAAGGTGTGCGGCGTGTCAAAAGCGCGGTGTTTCGAGTACCGCGACAAGCTGGTCCGCCATGCCTTCGTACGGAGACCCCCCGACCTGCCCACAGCCCACCAAGCACTACCTCAAAAAGAAGAAGTCCGGCGGCGTCGCCGACATCAAGTCGCGCGGCGTCAAGGACGATGGCGCCCTCGTGAAGCTCGGAGACGTCGAACTCGCAGGAAAGGTGCCGATCCGGGACCTACTGGGCAAGGTTGGGGAGGGGACGAAGAAGATCACAGAGGCTGTGACCGACATGCTCGGAGACTCGCTCTGCGGCCTGATCGACAACATCCTCAAGAAGGTCTTTTCCGGCGAGTCGTCGCTCGACAAGGTCAAGAAGCTCGTCACCTCGCTGGTGAGCTGCGGCGGCCTCTGGAACGCGCTCGAGGTGCGGCTCCGCCGCCCCCGCCTCCGCCAGTTGCCGCAGCCGCACAGGCTGAGCTATGAGCGGCGCCACACATATGCCCTCGCGCGGCGCACAGGCCTTCTTCAGCCGCATCGCCTGCGCGGTGGGCACCACCCTCAAGACGGTCATCGTCGCCGTCAAGTGCCTCATCGAGGATGGCAAGTGCCCCAAGAAGTGGGAAAGGGCGCGCCGCCCGCGCCGCACTCTCACGCACCAGTGTCCTAGCGGCAGCAGTGTCCTAGCGCCCGCATGCTCACACCGCCGCCCGCCGCGCCGCCGCCTCCCCCCGCCCCCCTCTTAGATCATCGAGGCCATCGAGAAGCGGGTACCCGAGTTCCTCAGCTGCATCAAGGCGCGCCCTCCTGGCTCCTCTCTCGTGTCCGGATGCCCCGCTCTCGCCCTCGCCTTTCCAGCCCCGCGCCGCCCCCGTGGCCGCCGCCCTCACCCCCCGCGGGGCGGGTCACACAGGCACGCACGGGCTCGGCGTCGTCGCACTCAGCCT